TAAAACTAAAAAGCTTCTGTGCATCAAAAGAAAACAATTAACAGAGCAAAAAGACAGCCTACAGAGAAGGAGAAAATATTTGCAAACTGTGCCTGTGACAAAAGATTAATAACCAGAATATACAAAGAACTCAAACAACCTAACAGTAAAAAAAACAAATAACCCATTAAAGAAATGGGCAAAGGAGCTGAATAGGCATTTCTCAAAGGAAGATATACAAATGGCCAGCAGACGGATGACAAAGTGCTGAACATGTCAGCATCAGAGAAATGTATATCAAAACCACACTGAGAGATCATCTCACATCAGTTAGACTGGCTATTATATTAAAGACAGAGAATAACGGGCCAGCCCAGTGGTGCACTCGGTAGAGTGCAGCGCTTGGGAGTGCGGCGGCGCTCCCGCCGAGGGTTCGGATCCCATATAGAGACCGGTCCGCTCACTGGTTGAGCGCGGTGCGGGCACGACACCGAGGGTTGCGATCCCGTTGCCGGTCGCGGTACGGGCGCAATACCGAGGGTTGCAATCCCGTTACCGGACACGAAAAAAGACAAAAAGGAAAAAAAAAAAAAAAGACAGAGAATAACAAATGCTGGTGAGGATGCAGAGAAAGGGGAACCTTCCTACACTGTTTTTGGGACTCTGAATTGGTGCAGTCATTATGGAAAATGCCACAGAGGTTCCTCAAACAACTACAGATAGAACTGCCATACAATCCAGCAATTGTACTGCTGTTGTATACTCAAAGTAGTGGAAAACATTATGTCAAAGGGATATCTGCACTCGCATGTTTATTGCAGCTCTATTTACATAGTCAATAGTTAGAACAAATCTAAATCTCCATCAATGGATGACTAGATAAGAAAAATGTGGTATATTTATACAATTGAATACTACTCTGCTATAAAAAAAAAGAATAAAATTCTGCCATTCTAAGATGTACTTAGAGAAAACCATGTTAAGTGAGATAAGCCAGGCACAGAAAGAGAAATAACACATGTCCGCACTCATAAGTGGGAGCTAAAATATAAAGAAATTTAAAAAAAGAAAGAAAGATACAATAATCACAATAATATGTTGAACTTTCAAAAGTAGAGAGCTAAACTGAAGTTAACAAGGGTGGGATGGGGGAGAAAGGGCAAAAGGGAGGAATTGGTAAAGGGCCATGAAAAACAATTACATTGTATAATGTTGAATATACTAATTATCCTGATTTGAGCATCATATATTGCACACAGGTATTGATATTCAACTCTATACGCCATAGACATGTACAATCTTGTTTCAATAAAATAAAAAAAGAGGAAGAATCAATGAACCTAAAGATCAATAGAAACTATGCAATATAAAAATCACAGAAAAAAAGATCGAATAAAAATAAACAGAACCAGAGAGACCTGTGGGACAACAGCAGTATATCAATCTGTGTGTTATGGAAATAGCAGGGAAAGGGTGGGGAGGCAGAAAAAAAATTTGAAAAAACAAGGGCAGGAAACTTTCAAAATTTGACCAAAAACATTAGTCTAAATATACAAAGAGATAAAGAAACCCCAAATAGGATAAACACAAAGGAAACAACACCTAGACACAAGAGTTCACATTGCTGAAAGACAAAGGCAAAATTTTTAAAGGAACAATAGGAAAAGATTTATACAGTGGAACTAAAGTACAATTAACAGCAGACTTCTTATCAAAAACAATCCAGGACAGAAGGCAGTAGAACAATATATTCAAATGGCTAAAAGAAAAACTGTCAATCAATTATTCTAATCTGAAAAGATCGAAGGAAAAATTAAAACATTTCCAGACAAAAGAGAAAATTTGTTGCTAGCAAATGTAACTTACCAAAAAGAGAAAGAAGAAAAAGAAATATATATTTACATATACATATACTGCAATGGTTTGAGTGTTTGTCCCCTCTGAAACTCATGTTGAAATTTAATCCTCAATATAACAGTATTAAGAAGTGAGGCCTTTAAGAGTTGACTGAATTATGAGGGCTGTGCCCTCATTAATGAATTAATCCACTTAGGATCAATGGTTTAATAGATTACTGAGTTATCATGGGACTGAGTTAGTTATCACAAGAGTGGGTCTGTTATAAAAGCCAATTTTGTGCTCTCTTGTGCAACCTTATGCCATGTGATGCCCTATACCACCTCAGAACTCTAAATAGAGTTCTCACCAATAAGAAGGCGATCACAAGAAGCAACCAGATGTGGTTGCCCAATCTTGAACTTCCCAGCCTCCAGAACCATGAGCCCAAATAAACCTCTTTTCTTTATAAATTACCACATCTCACATATTCTATTATAGTAACAGAAAATGGACTAAGACATACATATACAGGAAAATTCTTCAAGCTGAAAGAAATGATAACAGGATAATTCAAATCAACCTGAACAGAGAACACCAAAACAGGTAAAAATGAAGATAAATGTAAAAAACTATAAAAATACATTTTTTTCTCTTTCCCCTCCAAACTTCTTTAAAAGACATCAGATTGAATAACAATGACCATTACACTGTACTGCGGGGTTTATAAAATATTTAAGTTAAATTATACGAGGGTACTTCAAAAAGTTCATGGAAAGATTCATATTATCTTTCAATTCTATTTTTTCATGAAATTTTTGTATATTTTACTAAAATTAAGTTAGTACTAATCTCAAGTAAACTCATAAATTAAGATTTGTATCTTAATCCCTAGAGCAACCACTAAGAATACATCTCAAAAAAATACATAGGGGGCCGGCCCGGTGGCGCACTGGATAAGTGCGCCACTTGGGAAGCGCAGCGGCGCTCCCGCCCGAGGGTTCGGATCCCACATACAGACCGGTTCCCGCTCACTGGCTGAGCGAGAGAATGAAAAAAAGGATACCAAAATAGACTTTCACACAGGAAATATTACTAGAGACAAATGAAAATTTTATAAGGCTAGGGCTAAGAAAAGCAATTCACCAGAAAGATATAAATAACCATTATAAATTTATATGCACATGACAACAGAGCCCTAAAATATATAAAGTAAAAATTAACTGAACTGCAATGCAAAATAGCTGAGGATGCCAGTACCTCAGTCTCAATAACTGAAAAAAGAAGTAAACAGAAACTCAGCACTGAACAATACTATCAACCAACTTGAGTTAATTGACATTTATATAAAACTCTAGCTGAGAAAAGAATAGATATTCCTTTCAAGTACACATTGCACATTCTCCAGGAAATATCATATGCTAGGGAATAAATTAAGTCTCAATAAACTTAAAAGGATTGAAATCATACAAAATTTGTTCTCTAACCATAAGAAAACAAAATTAAAAATCAACAACATATGAAAGTTTAGAAAATCCACAAATATTTGGAAAATAAAGACACATTTCTAAATAACCAGTGGGTCAACAGAGAATTCACAAAACAAATCAGAAAATACAATGAACTCAATAAAAATAAAAAAACATAAAAATTTATAGGATGAGGCTAAGGTAGTGCAGAGAGGGAAATTTATAGCTGTAAAAGTCTATATATTAAAAAGAATGGTCTCAAATTAAAAACTTAAACTTCTACTTTAAGAAATTAAATAAAGACGTAGATAAAGAGGAAAGTAAATCCAAAGCTATCAAAAGGAAGGAAATAACAAAGTTTAGAGCAGAAATTAATGAAATGAAATAGAATAGAAAAATAGAGAAAAATCAATGAAACCAAAAGTTGGTCCTTTGAAAAGATCAACAAAAGTATTGGATTTTTAGCTAGACTGACCAAGAAAAAAATAAACAAGACATGAATTACCAAAATCACGAGTGAAAGAGGAGAAATCACTAACATCCCTATGAAAATTAAAAACATTATAAAGGAATACTTTGAACAACTTTAGGCCAACAAATTATACAATTTAGATGAAAATTCCTAGGAAGACACAAGTTACAGAAGCCTACTCAAGAAAGAAAATCAGACCTGATCTATAACAAGTAAATTAACTGAATTAGAATTAAAAATCTTTCTACATCAATTCCACTCCTAATATATAAATTCTTTTCTTGTTTAAGCTAATGATGAGTTTTTTGTTTTTGTTTTTGTTTTTTACTTGCAGTTAAAAAACCCTCAAAGACCACATTTTCTTATCTCTACTTAAAAAGACTGAATACCACTATTGTGATATTTCTAAATCAGTATCCCACTCCTGCCTAACACACTGCTTAAGATAGTTCCGAGATATTTTCCAACATTAGCCTGACCTCTCTCAAACTGTCCAATCTTTCACAAACTAAAATCGAGTGTCTCATTTCGCAAAGTCTAAAAACAAGTGTCTTCCAGCAGCAATTACAATCAGGAATTCCCAGATCCAAAAAAAAATAGAAAAAGCAGGTAACTTTTATTTAAATTATTGAAAGTTCACAAACTGACTTCCATAATCCTGAGACTAATTTTTTTAGCCCTGTGGCATGTGTTAATTTGCATGACTGTCTTCCACAATTTCTATAGAGCAATATTCTTGCTTAATAACACGAAAGTTCACAAACTGACTTCCATAATCCTGAGACTAATTTTTTTAGCCCTGTGGCACGTGTTAATTTGCATGACTGTCTTCCACAATTTCTATAGAGCAATATTCTTGCTTAATAACACAGATGCTTCTATATGGACCTGTTGTGATTTATATCCCTAAGAAAAGTCTGCCACTGAAAGACACCTCAGAAAGTAAATAACTAATGGAGTTTCATGATATCTAATTTTTTAAATGTATTTCAATTACAACAAAGTGAATCAGATCTCTAAGCCCTTAGCATCAATTTCTAAACATCTATAAACCAAAAATAGTAAACATTTCTACACTAAAAATAAAAGATATGCTATAGACATTGTTACTTAGCTATTAACTCCTACTTTTATGGTGAATGATAAAATTCAAAAATTAATGACATTTTATATTTCACTTTACTACAAATTAGAAAACAAAAGTATTTAATAAGATATAAAATATTCCAGAAAGACTACCAAACCTTGAAAAAATCTTCAAGCTGTTTACTGTTGTAAAGAGCAGGAATATTGGCAGAGAATTGTAGCAGGTCTTCAGCACACTGTCTTCTCTCTTCAATAACAGTTTCATCAAATCGCCCTAGAATTAAATAAGAATCAACATTTAAGAAAAGAATGCTCAAACAATGGTTTACGATAGTTTCTGTCCAGAAACTAGAAAGCAGCAGTGGGCCTACCACTGCCTATCTGCTGTGCTTATTACGTGAACCTCTGAAGTCAAATCTGATCTCTACAATTAGAATCAGCAGCACTCTCACTGGAAAAGAAAATAATGTTCCTGATAAAACAAGAAACAGAGGCATCAACTCATAAATAAATGGTGCATTCATAATCTAGGACCTGTCAATGTAAGAAACTTACCATTTAAGAAGCTGGTGATTTGAAACTAAATTTGAAAAGATAATTTTAATGAACTCAAATGGTTTTTTATACTAATTTAATACTGTAACTACTCATATAATTTTCACTTTTCTACTCTTTTTGATTTATAAAGGGGTTGACGAGAGGAAATTATGAGAACATCTGTATTATCAGTAGGGTCAAAAACCTCAGCTTGAAGCAAAGAGCTTTTATGCTAAATTCCATGTATGATGCTATCAGCCTACATGACAGCATGCTTGTTGTGAGAAAAAAAGAGAACACACGTAGCACCAGTGAGTTCTGCATTACGAGGTGACCGAAAGGTGGTTTTCATAGAATTTTTTCAATGATACATACAATTTGAATGCTGATAAGACATTTTCAAATATGATCATTTTGTACTAAGATTAGATTACTAGTTGACATTTGTCACATGCCATGTATCATACTGATTGCAACAGAGGTTTAAAAAATACGAAATCAGAAGAATAGTATCATCACATACTTAAAAGATTTTAAGTGGCTTTACAAAGTGTTAACAGAAAACTGAGGCACAAAGAGATTCCGAGTTAAGTAACCCAAGGCAAGAATTGGAAACTGAACCACTAAAATACCCTCCACTCAATGTGTCTCATGCTTATGGTGAAGTGTCTATTTTGTGATAACTAAAAGAAGGTTTTGGTGTTAGGCCTGGGTTCAATCATAGATTATCACAGGGTTTTTGAATCTTTAAGTGCTGTCATAGTGACTAGCATACAGAACACACTAGCAAACTTTTATTGACTGTGTGAGTGAAAAATGATAAACTTTCTAAAAAAAGAACTCTCAACACTGGAACATTCTAACAGGAAATCTTAACACTGGGTCCATAAACAACCCCCTAAGCCATGGTACATCGATGGGTTTCAGAGACAATAATCCTACAGAGTTCCATGGATATACACAGAGTTATGTATTTCTAGTGAAAGGGCCTATAACTTTTATCAGCATCCTCAAAGAGCAATGGCCTAGTAAAGGTTATCAGGCAAGTAGCAATCAATTAGAGAATTCCTAACACATCCAGTATACTGCTTTTTATATTCTATGGAATAGGCTACCCGTAGCTATCCAAGTATCTGTTCTCGCTTTCTTCCTTAGTAAGGCAATCCCCAATTTTTAACTGGGTACATGGTAGCCCAGAAAAAAGGCTATAATTGCCACCTTGCCTTACAGTTAAGTGTGGACATGGACTAAGTTTTGGCCAATAAGACATAAACAAAAGATAAAATGTGGCTTTCCAGAAATCTCTGGAAAACACAGCTGATAGATACCCTCTCCCCACTTTTCTTATTTGTCACTTCTCCCTTCTAGGAAGGACCATGAAGTGGAAAGGTTAAAAATGACACAGCAACAAGTGAGAAGCTTGGATTCCTGATCACTGCGGAGTTGCCATGCCCAAGGCTACCTCCAGATCACTTGCCATGAGAAAAAAATTGACTTCTATCCTGCTTTAAGTTTGTCACAAACCTAATATAATTCATTATGCTACATCTATTTTCTATGAGTTCTCAGTCATATACAACAATTAAACTAAATTCTCTCAATGACAATAGCACATCTAAAATGACATTGTTATGGGCCGACCCCGTGGCGCACTCGGGAGAGTGCAGTGCTGGGAGCGCGGTGACGCTCCCGCCGTGGGTTCAGATCCTATATAGGACTGGCCGGTGCGCTCACTGGCTGAGCGCAGTGTGGGCGACACCACACCAAGGGTTGCGATCCCCTTACCGGTCACGAAAAAGACAAAAATAAAATAAAATAAAATGACACTGTTAGAGTACCTATCAATAATATTATCTGGAAAAAAACTTCCAAGAGCTCCAACAGGTAGAGCAAATTCTCTGGATGAAAACAATCTAAATTATTCAATCTAGGGAAAAATCAACTGGCCAAACAAGTTCAATGCTCATTATTCCTTCTTTTGGCTAAATAAAGTATGAACCTGTGCTTATGACTACAGTCCAACATAATTCTTTCAAACAGAAATTATGTTCCAGTGCCTGTGAGTTAATATTAGTCATTTTGTAAATATCTATACAGTCGTCCCTCGGTATCCATGGAGGATTGGTTCCAGGGCCCCTAACAGATACCAAAATCTGTAGATGCTCAAGTCTCTGACAGTATTTGCATACAACCCACACATCTTCCCATACACTTAAAATCATCTTTGGATTATTTATAATACCTAAAACAATATAATTGTTACGTAAACTATTATACTGTATTGTTTAGGAAATAATGACAAGGAAAAAAGTTAGTATGTGTTCAGTACAGATGAAAAATTTTTTTTCCAAATATTTTAGATATATGATTGGTTGAATCTATGGACGCGGAACCCCTGGAAACAGAGGGCCAGCTATAATCTTAGAAAAGAAATCCGGAAGATGCACATGTTATATTATGCTTCGACCCACAAGACCACCTGGTATCATCTTTACATGCATTAACTACTTGTTAAGAAATTTTAGGGGCCGGCCCAGTGGCGCACTGCGCTAGTGCGCCGCTTGGGAAGCGCGGTTGCGCTCCCACTGAGGGTTCGGATCCCACATACGGACCGGTTCCCGCTCACTGGCTGAGCGAGGCGCGGGGGCAACACTGAGGGTTGCGATCCCGTTGCCGGTCCCGGTCCGGTACGGGGGCGACACTGAGGGTTGCAATCCGTTGCCGGACACAGAAAAAGACAAAAAAAAGAAATTTTAGTGGAAGACTTCCAAATATTTAATGGTACCCTAAAAAGATCTTATTTTTATCTGAAACAAAAGTGTAAAAATTGGGGGCCTTTAATCACCCCACCTCATTCCCCCATTAAGCTCAACTAAAATGCTTAAGCACTGGAATAAATATGTCAAAAGTACATCTTTGTTGTGCTTGTACTGATCTATATATTTCTATTCCACTAACTTGGACAAGCAGAGATGAATTAACACATTTTTTCAGAATGGAGCACAACCAACAATAAAGGTTTATGCATTAAAGGGTTCAGTTACACTGAATTCTATCATCAGAACAAATACAATGAAAGAGCAAGCTCACTTCTTTGTTCCTAAGATATTTAAGAAGCACAACAACAACAACAAAATAGTATTGGTAGCATAAACAAAGAGATGCAGATGAATCTTAATGCAATCACTACCAGCCTAATGCATATAACAAAGCCATCTAATTTTTTAATTTTTAAAAAAATAGCAAGATTCAATATTCATCCAAATGGCAGACAAACACCCTTGTGACTATTCTCTAGTTGTTTACCCTTTAATATAATCAAAATTCCACTTGAAAGGTAGCAACTATATGAAAAATCATAAACAGGTGCTTCTTTTAAATTGCTATTCATGGTGCCAATGTTTATTTTCCTATAAACAAAGCGCAAAAATTATAAAGGTAAAAAACGCAAAACAAATTTTTCCTAAGAAGGCTTATTGTGCAATATTATACATTACGTAAATTTTGCACGTGTGTACGTGTATAATATTAGTATACATAAGCTACTCCCCCAACCCCAATTATCCAACAATGATCTGTTTACTAAAAGCTGTGGAGAGAAAAATTAAATTCAAACATTCTAACTAAGGTGGTTAATCACTAAAAATAACCAGAAAGCCTCTCTTTGATTTATAAGCTGTCTTCAGGATTTTCTCTTATTTTTTTTTTATTATTCAGAACTCCTAGAGAGCAGAGTTTATAACTTTTTAAACATGCATATCTCAATGAACAAAAACTAGATATACAGAACTAAAACTTATCCTTGACCAGTACAAAACTAGCCAGAAGCTGATGACTCTTAACTATATCAAAAATTCATTCACCAAGTGAAAAGAGAGGGCAAGATTCTCAGGTGTGAATTCTCTCTAGCCACTCAGTTCCAGGAACAGATCACTATTTAAACAAGTTGGATTTATTCCTCCTTGCAACTAGGGAGAATACACACCATTGGGAACCCTAGGGTGTTTCACCCATAGGGTATTAGAAAGAACTTACAGGACTTGGGCTTGTGTTAGGTGCTTTGGGGAAAGGTTCAAGGAAGTGGGGCTTTACCCTGGATCAGATGCTGTCAAGACATGGGGGTAATTCTATGATTCTATGAATTCTATCTAATTCTAAGAGTCTACGACTTTTCATAAATCTTACACAACAAGGTAGGAAGAACAAAGCAAGGCTAAGGCTGTGATTTATAAAGAAGCAGTAGTCACTCATGACAGCCAGAATGAAGATACGTTTGATCATCTTTTTCACTTGAAAAATGCTTTTTTATCTGTGTTCGGACAAAATTACAGGGTGGTCTTGTTTTTGTCTTGATCCAAGAACACAGAGTGACATTGTCCAATGTTCTTGTTCTGTGAAACTTAATGTTCAATAGGAGAACAACGCAGTCTAGCCGTGAATGCCAGGCCAACTCTAAGAAATACCAAGGTCGAACTGATATACAGTGCAAACCAGTTCTTTGCTGTCAGGAGCTGCTGTCTCTTTCTCACAGGAAATCATAGTTTGATGACAGATAATAACAAAACAAACAAAAAGCAATAATCTAATCATGAGAAAGCAATCAGATCCAGATTGTGAAACCTTCTACAAAACTGTCCCACACTCTTTAAAAGTGTCATTGGCATGAAAGATCAAAAAAATACATAAGGACTATTCTAGATTAAAGAAACAACCCAAGAAAGGTTTGCTTGTGGATCC